AAAGAAAATTTTTTATGAATTTCTAACACGAAATACTTTGCAAATTTTCGTCATTTTCACGTATTTTGTCAATATTTGGAATTTAAATGCTTATAACAAAAAACTGTGACTAAGGATTTTTAATATTTTTCATCTGTCTTTGAAAAAATATATTAGGAGCCTTCTATTAAATGTTTAAGCTTTTATACCCAACAAATAAAATTGTATTGATACTTATAGAAAAAAAAACTAAAAAAAATGGAAACTAAAAATGTCCGTAAAAAGCTCAAAATAACTCAAAATATTTAGAAAATTTTATCATGTATAGAAAATGGAAATATAAATAACCAGTGAAAATTTCATATATCTACGGTCATTTGTTTTAAAGTTAACACTAAAAACCAAAATCAATTTTCTCGAAAACAGATTTTGCGTAAAAATTCCCGTTTTTCCTTAATTTTTCTTTTGTTTTTCACGGCGCTTTTGAAAACTACTGTGAAATTTTTGCTTTTGACCCCCCCCCCCCCCAAAGTACCAACTAGATTCACTTTCCTATCAGAAATGATACTGTTGAAGAAAATCCAAGCACTTTTACTGTCCTAAAAGATGATGACAGACAAAAAAAAAAAAAATATGAATTCGTGAATTCGTAAACAGTTGTCAATATTTGTAATGAAATGAATAATTCCGAACCAATAAACCACGATAGCTTATAAATGATTGGTGAAATACTGAAATAAACCTGAGGGTGCTAGTTTGAAGCTTGGGGGTGCTAAGCACCCCCAAGCACCCCCCTATGTTCGCCTATGGCGTTCTGTAATAATTGATGATGAAAATCGTTGTACCTACATACCTAATAATAACATTATATTAAAATGCACTGACAGATAATATAACAACGCGTTTAATTATACCGTGGCAATTAAATTGTTTGATATCGTGGCATTTAATTTAATTTAATACAAAGTAACATAAACGCTCCCGTCGTATAATGCTGCCAACAATATTATTATATTATTATTTACGGGTCTGGCGTCTCGTATAAATATTAGTTTATCAACCATTGACGAACGTTAGTATATTAAAATTTTTTTATTTTTACAAGATACTTACAATCTGTTCAAAGAACAATAAGGAAATTTGATAAAAGAATATATAACATGAGTATTGAGTAGTATGACGAAAGAAGCCAACCAATGATGGCACTACCTACCTATGTTGAGTACCTATTTATATGCTAGGTTTCATGCATCTAACAGGTCGCGAAACCAGTTTCGTTTAAGATATTATAATATATATAATAAACTAGTGCAATACTAGTATTTATAATCAATGGTAGCTATTAATTATTATGCGTACATATCTCTGTTTAATTAATGTGTTGCTATTGGTTATGATTGAATATAGTTTTAGACCTGTTATACGGCTGTACCTATATTATATATAATAGGTCAAACCTCGGGTAATGGACTGGAAACAAGCAGCTTATCAGTGGCCACGAATGTATGTGGATACAAGAGGCAAGTGCTGCGGGTGGCAATGTTGACCCAAAGTTTAACTCTCCTTCTGAATAAAACACGGACTAACATACAAAATGTGAAGCCAATAAAACCACCTGTAGTGCTGAAAACATTGTGTTCCCAGTGTGAGGAACCTTTTGGTGTCCGTCCCCCGACCGCCCCCGATCATTTCGTCTCCAGTCCATTATATCTTAGTGACTTAGTCCGTGGTCAAAACTATAATATAACTTAAAACTTATAAAAATTGTATTCCCAAGGCTGACGTTTCGACCTACATATGCCCATCATAATAACAATGTGTTAGTAAAACATTCGAAATTACTTACGCACTTCGTGGGGTCTGAAATCCACAGGCAACCTGAAAATACACTGCTCCCATCATCACAAGCGTGTCTCACAGGCCACGCCTGGGGGGGGGGTGGCTATAATATAATATAATCGATCATATCCAGACTAACTCACTGACTGATAAACCTAAATGCTAAATAATGATAACTCGAGGCTTGCAATTTCCATGGTACCTTCGTACCACTATGTAAGTGTGCACTAAGATAGCATCTACCAAAATTTGCATTTTAAAGTGGTGCTTGCACAAGTATTTTAATATTCAAGATGATCGATGAAAATTAGCTAGTTAGTAATAATTTATAAATTAAAAAACCAATGAGTGCTGAGTATAGAACTTGGCATAAATGTGTGAAAGGTACTTTTTTTAATCTATTAATGCCTACACAGACGACCTGCTATAGCTTACGGTCGATATATTTCCTAATCAGTCTTATCCGCAAATTGCTAAGTAATAAGCATTACCAGTTACCACCAAACATGCGTTTTCAATTTGAATGCACTAAATTTTTTTTAAAATGTGTGATACATTAAAATTAAATCATGTTACCAAACCGACAACCCGATTTTTAAAGACGTATTATTTAAGTAAAACAACTATTAGTTAACCTATTAATTGTTTTTCACAATTAATTCTCGTGTTATTAAAAAGCTAAAATAGGCCACGTTATGGGAAGGGGTGATTGTACTTTCAAACCCCTCCTCCGTCCACTCTCCCAAGGACAGCATTGATTTTCGACAAATCTGGCAATATGTATAAAAATAGAATATTTTGAAGTGTCAACGTATTGGTGTGGGGAGGGGGACGGGTTAGGAATTCAAGTGGCGAGATTTACTACGGACTATGCAACGTTAAGTGTAACACCGGAGCTATTTATTATTATTATTGTTATTACCATTATTATAACTTATAGTGCCTACTACATATTACTATTACTATTATATATGTACGGGTAATGACTCGTAATAGCCGCCGTCGCAGTTGACCGCCATCCAAGAGTTAAATTTAATGCCGTCCGCCACCGCCACCGCAGCGTGTGCGCGACGACTTGCTAAATAATAATAACATCATATCATTGTATTATATTATTATTTTCATCATCATCATCATCATCATACATCCCCGACAAGTATTACCATAACCGGTGCGCGGCGGTGGCGTAGGCGGACAAGAAGTAGTGCGGCGGCGGTGGGTGTATAATATAATAATAATATAACATGTAAGCATAGGTACCTACTGCGGCGGCGGGTGACTACGAGACGTTTAAAAACTAAAAACGCTGACCCACGAAGTTTTGAAGCCGTCTCTTAATTGATGGAAGGAACCGCCGAAATTTTAATGGCGTACAAGCGCGCCCCGCCGACTGTGTCCGGCTTAGAGACGTATAGTCCGCTGATCATTACTGTCGTTATTATAATAATATTATTATTACTATTCGAGTATAATACATAATTATCATATTTTAATATGTATACATTATATACTATAGGTGTATAATAATACCTACGTAATGCATTAAAATACGACTTACGAGACTTCGCTCGACGACGACGACGACTCGTTCAGGTCTTTCCGCGTGCGGATAACGCGCATACTACGTTGTTATTAACGCGGTTATTACGAGGTATACCTATATAATACGTACCCCGTGTGCCAACACGAAACATTGTAGCGAGGCGATTATTTTTTTCATATCTGAGATTTGTTATTAATATATAATATATGTATAGGTATTGTATTGCTGTACAACGTGAGTCAGTCGCGCCGATGGACGTCTCGTTTACCGGTCGTCGTCTCCGTGAAAAATATAATAATTATTGGACAGTATAATAATGCCTGCGTACAACGTGTGAGTAACCACACGGTATTGACCTCGGGGAATTTTAACGCGTCGGAGCGAGTAAATGAAAATAAAAAAAAAATAGGTAGTAATAATAGCTAATAAGCCACTGCACGCACACACACATACACAGGGCAATAAAACGCTACAATTATTGCGGGCGCAAGGTATGTGTAGGTAAATGTATTTTAGTCATCACTCTATAAACCCGCGGGCAGTTTATAAGTGCGCTGATTTTGAAATCTCTCAAACCACCAAGTACCTATATTTGCATGAGTCGACTATGCATTTTTTATAATACTAAGATACATACAGGACGTCAAATTGTCAAACAGAAACGAAACAAATCGTTCGCGTTTGACGATGATTATTATTATCGTATAGTGACGTTTTCCGGAATAGACATACGCTGCTCAATGGGCTAGTGCAATGTGATCATATATTATAGTTGTCATATACTTTTGACGTAGTTACTTTTTTGTTACTAAGACCATACATCCGTCAAAACTTAAAATACTTCGTAAATATAATTATATACGTTGTTTACGGTTATATTTTAATATATTATGAAGCGCTTATTACACTACAATAATGTGTAGGTATATATTTTTTTTTTAACTCGGTGACACTTTGCCAGGAGCCCGTCATTTTTTTTCACAACAATAAATCAAACATAATTTTTACAACTGGACTCTTCGCATATAATCTACGTGTTGAAGACACGCCAAAACCATATCCTGTCATCCCTATCAGTAACAAAAAAAAAAGTAACCAGATTCTAAATAATATTTTCTACTCGGTGCTTATTACTGCACGTGTTACTTAAGTTATTCAAATCTATAAGTTATAAGTTATAACAAATATAATACATTTGGTGCTCGAGCGTCATTCTTCAACAGATTTAATATTATATTATGGACAATAGACATATTATATAGCACACTTAATTTATGAAGTGATATGTCAGTGCCTCCTCCATCTTCCCGGCTTAATCGTCTTTAATACCATATACGTATGACGCGATCGCGATGCATAAAATGGAGTGACGAAGAGGGTAATCGAGGGGCAACCGCCTCTGCAGATAGTTTCTTGTGGGTGGGTAATTGCCACAGTCGGTGATAATTTAGTATTAACTACAGTATTTTAGTAATAACTACGACAGTTATAATTATGATTAAAATATGACAGTGAACGGGTTATTGGTGCTTGCAGGGTGTGTGAAATATTAGACTATATCCTCTGAAAAATTACAAGTCCGCCTCGCCTAACCTGTACTATATAATAATAAATAAAATAAGTATTAAATAACTGACTCATGTATTTCCACATAGAATCTGCCACGTGTGCCACTGTGAGCTGCAAGGGTGGTCAGAAATGTCTGATCGAGAAAAAGACCGGACGTCCGAGGTGCGTGACGTGCAACCTGTCGTGCCCGGAACCGGAAACTTCGGGAAAGCGTAAGGACACCGTGGGCGGAAAAGTGTGTGGTAGCAACGACAAAACGTACCACTCTTGGTGTCAGATGTTCATGGACGCGTGTGCCACGGGTGTAGTGATCGAGACCAAGGCATCGGGACCGTGCCGAGACGGCGAAATGGGTAAGTTTTCGATTTAAGTTTTTCCGACATATCGTTTTCGTCTTAAAGGCGTAAATTTGGTTGAAAATCTGAGGGCTATAAATATTAATTAACACGTAGGTACTAACATAATTTATTATACTTACGAGGTTAAGTTAGGGAATACTTTAGGGGCTAGTATAGTTTTAAGAGGGGCTAAGCTCAAAAAGAATCCCTCATTCCAATGTACGCCTGTGTGTGAATAATATTATGTACTATAGTTATTATGATAATATTATGAGGTCCACGTCTGGAGCTGTATTTATGTTAAACGCGAAAAGAGTCAATCTAGCTGTATAAGTGGAGGAAATCATTTTATAATACACTATAATAGACATTTGACACGATAATGACTCTATTAGCAAGTGTGTGTGTCAGAGTAACCGTCTATAGTCGTTATACCCACGAAGGCAAAACTCTAGTTGGTATACGATTACATTATTCGTCGGTTGGTCTGGCTGCCGAATATCAGTAATCCTATGGATATGAATTATTCACTTCACCCCTCTATATAATGCACCGCCGAAAAGTTCTAAATGTATTCGTTTTACTCTCCGCACCAGTTACCACGGTAACATGCATAGCGGTATACATATTACATATATCGTCATAAGAGGATCACGATAAGTCCAATTACTCGTTTCCGTTCGATCGTTTTAGTGTTCTATAAACAGTCGACGCTCACCATGTGTATAATATAACAGCAGCATCCGTTTATCGGGTGTGTTATATATCGACTATAAATCAAGGAGACGACAGCCGAGTGGTGCAGCCGAAACTCAAGGGTTTATAGTCTATATAGATGCATTATGTATACAGTATAGGTAATAGGTGTATAATATTATAATCTATCCCCCAAAATGGTATGATTTATTTATACGCCACTTCCCGTGTCGTCTTATTGCCTCTTCAATTTATTCATATCCGGTCAGAGGCATGTATTTTCAGACAGACGAACCTATTGAAAAGCGTATTCCTTCGAGGGGACATCAAATATTTGTGAAACGTTTTACTTTACGCCGCAGCCAGTCGATTAATCGCTGGCAACCGACGCGTTGTGCAGTGTGGAGGGTGGTTAAGAGTGGTTGAAGAGTTTAAGACTGTAAATAGGACGCCACATCCGCATGTGTTCCGTCTTACAAACGTATGACATATATATATAGCATATTTGTGTTCAGCAGTTCCAATTTTGAGTAGTAACCTTAAATAATACAGTGTATTAGCCTGTTATCAAAACTGTTATCAAACTTATATACATAAGAACAATGTCAGTGTTTTTCGTGGGCTTTTTAGAATATTTTAATTTTTAAGTAAGTTAGCGAGTAGATAAGTTATGTATAATATTACATTATTACGTTTTAAAATTTCTAATACTCGTTTAAAAATTAAAACTCACGTGAAAACACGGATAATGTTCTTACCTTTAAGTTTAGTAATAGGTCAATTCATTCTAAAATTAAAGTTTATTATACGAAATTTGAATTAATAAACTTATATTTGATATAATATAATAGGTACCTATGTTGTACGTTTGTAAGACGAAGACATCACATGAGGATGTCGAACAATATAATTCGTCTGTACACGACTTACAATTTATAGGTTATAATAATATAATAATATTTGACATAGAATTTATATTTTGCACCATAATATTAGCTTGACGTATTAACTTGTTACTGCCGAATTAATGGTAAAATACAAGAATTAAAAATATATAGAATAATATCAACCAAAGTATTACACTTATATTTTGTAAATTTAGCTATTTTATAGTCTAATACTATAGGTAAAGGTATACACAGTTGCGTACCATAAAGGGGGTCATGATCCCCCTCCACAATTAGCCGTTTCAAAACATTGAAACAACATAAATATTTGAGTATTTTTTAAAAATATTTTGGCTTCGACCCCCTCCCCCCATTTTAAAATCCTGGGCACATCACTGGGTATACATTATAATATATTAAAATATCATATGCAATGTGATTAGAGTTGGTTAGTTGCTATACGAAATAAATAAAAAGAGAGATTTTAGGTAGGTGATATTACCTATAGTTCACTGCGAGATTACGTACGTTTGATTGAATCCGACTCTTTTGACAAGCTCTTGGCTGAGTACCTAACATATTACTTAATATGCATAAGAACATTTCAGATTATTTAATTTAACTTTTCTGTTTAACTTCTATTTTAATATTTATATTGCTATTCAAATCATTAATCACATCAATTATTATTTTATATTATATTTGGGCACACATATTTAAACGAGGGCCATTTCCAAGTTAGTCATAAATATATATTTTTAATTTTATTAAAAAGGCTTAAAAACCTTAAAAAATAATTGAAATATTGAAATATGAATGTTTTTAATAAACTAATACATTTTAATAAGCAGAAAAAAATGTATGATTAAATTTTAAATATCTTACATTTAGTTAATTTTGATTTATAGTTGTCAAGTCAAAATTACCAATAAAGACCATAATAGTAAAAATAAGTGTTAAAAAGAATTGAAAATTGAATATTAGGTGTGTCACAAATAATAAAGATACATATAGGTACGATATTTTTAATAATTATTTAAACTTTAAGTTGAAATTTATCAAAATCCGTCTTGGCTCAGAATAGTTCTTCGTATAGGTATAATGATTTAATATGATTAAAAATTTCAATTACAGCGACCCACTCGGCCATACGACACCTATTATATCCTCTTGCCCACCTTTTTATTGAAATATTAGCAGGTTTGTATCAAGGCCTCAAAACGTTATTAAACATTTTGAGTATAACGTTAAACGATTCAAACAGATAACGGATTACGTAAACGATAAATGATTATAATTAAATATTAATATCGAATAACATAACGATTAAAGATTGAAACATAACATTGCCAAAAAAAAAAAAAATATTTATAAAATTATAACTATCAGTAAATGAATATAATATTATATGGTTATTGGTTATTTAATATTTTTTGTAAAACTGTGATTTAAAAATTAAAATACTAGGTACCTAATCAAAATAAAATAAATTTACATACTTGAAGTAAATATTTTCGTCTAGCTCCTCCCTTTTTTCATTTCTAGATCCGTTTCTGGTTGTACCTAACCTATAGGTACTGGCTAGTAGAGTAATCTTACACTAATTCAAATAATGTTTAAACGTAAAACACTAAATTGTTCATAAGTCATAACCTTTTAATTTGTTAAAACGCATAATTATTTGAATAACGTTTAAACGCATAAGTTTAAAAACGTTTAATTTTGTAAAACGTTTAAACATATAAATTGAATACCATTTATTATCCTTGCAACGGTATAAGGTATTATTTTGTTTTTATTTAAGCCCTGCTTTGTATATTGTTTATCTCTACAGTATTCATTTATTGGTTGTAAGTGATATATAGTAGACCATTTTAAGGGGTTCAGTATAGGCAATATTTTTAAATAATTTATTGTTCATAATATAACTCTGGAACTCAAGAGTGATGAATATTTAAGATAAACATTTTTCACCGGTTATAGGAAAAAAAAAGGGGGATTTGGATTACTTCATATTAGTTATTGAAGTATGAAAAACATTTACAAGCCTATTATTTTTCATTTCGATGAAGGCGTTAAACTATATGATTATGTACGATAATTATTGCGTATTTTGTTAGTTTATACTTTTTAACGAACTTACATGCATTTTAATTACCTAATTTCTCTTAGTTCGTTTCAGTTAATACTGCAAACAATTATTTTAATAGTTTAAATAATTTTTTTTTTGTTAATTTTTTTTTTTAGATGTATTCAACGGCAATTGGAATTACGTGAACGCGTCCAACGTACTCATCGATGGGATTTGAACAAGACAAATTGACTATCAGAAACGTGATATGATTCCTTTAGACAAATTTAATACACATTATATAATATTATATACATACCTATAATAATTATACACACATATTATTATGCTAATAATAAAATATTATAATATGATATATATTTTAGCGAAATTAAAATATCTCGATATTACCTATATTATGATATCACGCGATTTATACACACCTATATGTAATACTATAACTACTATAAGTACAGTCACGTTTAATATACATTATTATACCTATACATTTAAGTAAGATTATAACTGCAGTAGTATTATAATAATATTATAGTAATATTATCATACCCTGAAAGTATTTACGTCCAGACTAAAACAATTATATTATATTATATTTATTAGGTATACCTTTGTAAAATATATAACTATACCGGCTATAATGATATATTAAAATAACGTGCGTCGTATAATTTAATGTTATATAATAATAAAATAATATATTTATTCAGATTAATATCGGACAAAAATTATATTATTATCCTCGAGTTATCGTCACGAGACGATGATGGATCGCCCAACATCAATTTTATTATTATTGTTTAATTTATAATCTAATATGATGATGTAGAATTGATAGTTATGCGAGTATTTGTATTTATATATTTCCATTCTTGACGAAGTCCTTATATGAATTAATTTCATCATTACATAAATTAACTTAACGAACTGTACAATGTATACATATTACATATAGATATATAATTATAATTATTTATACTGTACATGTAGTTATATACATAATATTATATATTATAGAACCTACTTAGGAATGTATTGTCTTTTATTATATTGTATGTGTAACGTTTAAGTATATAAATTAATAATAAGTAGTCTATAGGTGTAATAAATTATTATATCCCAAAAATAACTAAACAAACAAAAATACTTCAAAGATCAATATTATAATTCTTTTCGTTATTATTATTATGATTATTTTTTTCTTATTAAACGTCTAGTCAAAGTAGTTTTTTAGACTCATAGCAAATAGACCAATATAATAATAAAGTGTTATACATTAACCTTTATAATTCTTTGAAATTTATAGACACATATTATATACCTAATATAATATGCATGCAAAATATTTCGTTATGTTGGTACATATTATCGAACATGATACTATTAGACACCTTAATAATATATGTAACATTAATACATTTAGTGATGTGCCACTAGGAATATTCCGCAAGGAACGTTCCCGGAAACAGGGAATATTCCCCAACCTCTCGGGAAGTTTCTTTAAAAACAAAAGCTAGTGTGAATAGAATGACAGTCTATACTTATTACTTACTGTACCTCCTAAGTATTAATTAGTGTATTTTTTTTTCACATCAATTGGCTAGACTACTCATACTCAACTCCCATAAAGTTGGATAATTTATTTTGTGATCATTTTTGTATAGATTTTAATTAAAAAGTTAACTTAGAGTTACTTAATTACTTAAAAAAAATATACATTTAATATCTAAACAGAAATAATATCAGTAAAGAGCTGTCATTTGGATAATTTACAACCAAAAGTTTAATTTAAAACTGAAAAATATGATAAAAATTTAAAAATGCGGGTAAGTGGATGTCACTCTGCTGTACAGTAGGTTACAAGTGGGTCAATGAATAATGGATTGTATTAAACTTGAATTCAATGATATAATATCATTGTCTAAGAAAAACAATTCTAAGCGGAGACAGTTTGTCAGTCTGGATATTTTATATTGTTATTATTTATTATAATCTGTAAGTTGAATTAATTTGATATTATATTTTTTTTATTCGTTTCTATGGTGATAACTGATAAACAAAGAGTTCGAAATTAAAATCCCGTTTTTAGCGGTTTTTTGTAATTTGTCGGTGATTTTTGGCATTATATTAAATAACTATTGAGAAAATCGAAAAATGACCTCTTTAAAGTACCATCTTGATCCAATTTGCTAAAAGATAAGATACAATATGTTGAAATCTAAGCACTCCTTCTGGTAGAAATTTTGTAAACAGGATCAAAAAAGGTGGGCAAGTGGGTGTCGCTCTGCTGTACAGTAGGTCACAAGTGGGTCACTGTATAATGGATGGTATTACATTTGAATTCAATGATATTATATCGTTGTATAAGAAAAACGATTCTAAGCGGAGACGGTATGCCCTTCTAGGTAAAAGACATTATATACCTACTTATCTATGGTATTAAAAAAATTGACCTATAATGAATTCCAAATTAATCATATCATAATATCCATTAGGTACTTATAACGCGTTATACACCAACAACAAACCCTGATACTATCATAGTCCATACTTCATAGATATATAATAGTATACTTTAGAAGTTTCAAGTACCCACGATTAATATTATACAATCATAACTAAAATAGTTATTCTAGGTATTTTATTATGTAATTTCGTCCAAATTTGAATTTAAAAGCTATAAAAAACTTAGCTATAAAAACTGAACATTTTAAAATTTATTAATTACAATGATTAATAATTTTCGAGATTTTGATAAATTTTGTCAAAACTCGATCTTTAAATGCTTAAAAAAAAATTGTACCTATGTATTTTTAATGTTTTTCAATTGCTATTGTAACAATATATCAGGAGCCTTGTATTAAATTTTTACACTTTTTGGCTTAACAGATAAAACTTTATTGATTTATTTTATAGAAAAAAAACTAAAAAAATTGAAAACTGAAAATGTCCGTAAACAGCTCAAAAAGAGTCAAAATATTTTCAAAATTGTATGGTGTATAGGAAATGCTAATATAAACATTCAATAAAATTTTCATGTATCTATAGTTATTCGTTTTTTTAACTACAACAAAATAAGGAAATCGCTACATGAGAAATCGAGTGAATATCCAATGTTGTACAAATTTGAATTTCAAACGCTCATAAAAATTTAATTTGACTTTCTTATAGACATTTTTTTTTGATAAAGGTAGATAATTTATAAGGAATCTTGTATTACATTTTAGCTAATTTTCGTGCATTTTCCATATTTTGTCAATTTTTGAACTTTTAATGCTTATAAAAAAAACTGTGACCAACGATTTTTAATATTTTTCAAATTCTATTGTAACAATATACTGGGTGATTCTTTTATCAAACAACATTCATTATTTCAAAAAGTGTAAATTTTTTTGAAGATATTTTTTTACATAGTTTCAAGTCACTTATAAAACAACGTTTTTATTAAGAAATTATATTTTCAATTATTTTTTATCCTTATAATTTTTTAAGTTTTTTACTTTTTTCAATGACAACATAGGGTTTTAATTTTATATTCTAAAGTAGAATATTTTGCTTAGTATTTTGATACATGAAAATTGAATTTGGGGCGAGTAGTTTATGAGTTATAAGTAATTAAAGTTTAGACGAGCGGTGAAGTGGACAAACATTTCGCGGGGTAACCCCGAACCACTCCACTCCGCTCGTCTAAACTTTAAATACTTATAACTCATAAACTACTCAACCTAAATTCGATTTTCATGTATCAAAATACTAAGAAAAATATTCTGCTTTGGAATATAAAATTAAAACCCTATATTGTTATTCAAAAAAGTAAAAAACTTAAAAAATTATAAGGATAAAAAATATTTAAAAATATAATTTTTTAATAAAAACATTGTTTTATAAGCGACTTGAAACTATGTAAAAAAATATTTTCAAAAAAATTTACACTTTTTGAAATAATGAGTGTTGTTTGATAAAAGAATCACCCAGTATATAGTAGGAGCCTTGTATTAAATTTTCAAGCTTTTTTAACCAACAAATAAAATTTTATTGATATTTTTAGAAAAAAAACTAAAAAAAACTAGAAAATGAATATGTTCCTAAACAGTTCAAAATAAATCAAAACATTTTGAAAATGTTATCGTGTATAGAAAATGCTAATATAAACATTCAGTCAAAATGTCATGTACTATTGTCACTTTTGACCCCTTATAGTACCAACTAGATTCACTTTCCTATCAGAAAAGCTACTGTTGAAGAAAATCCAATCACTTTTACTGTCCTAAAACGTGATGACAAACAAAAAAAAAAAAAAATAAGAAAAAACACACATCATTGTAAAATCAATACATTTATCGTTCCACTCAGAATCTAAAAATTATTCTGTGTGTAAGAAAAAACAATAATCAAAATAAATTCCTAGAGAGAGTCCTAGAGATGTCCATGGTAAAATAACGAAAGCTTGAAGAGTTTAGCTATAAGAGTCATTGAAGGTGGTAGGTCTAAGAGGTGTCAACCATCCATAAATGGCTTTCTTGTCTTCATATTCAGAGTGATTCATCAAAGCATCAAGCTCGCCCATCCCCATTTTATCTGGAAGGTTGATACTATGTTTTTATTTGAATTATGATTTTAGGAACTTTTAAAATACTTAATGACTAAAAATTACTGAAATTAGAATCACTATTTTAAACTAGAAATCATTTTTAAGCAGATGATTTTATTGAAGATATTGATGAATTTAAATCGAAATTTGAACAAATAGTTTCCAAGCTCTTAAACTTTGTGTACTATACTGAATACTATACTATATTAATATCGAAGGGTAATAGTCTATAATTATAGGTTTAGTATATAATATGGCGGCAAAGTGATTTTTATCTTATGCCGTTAGTTTTTTCTTCATGTACTTGAATATTAACGTTATGATTACACGGCGTTATGGATATGCAATTTAGCTATACCTCTGTCGTGGTTCTATTAATTGTCCGGTATCTCCCGTGTTAGGCTTATTGTTCAACATTAAAATACGACATATAAAATATATAATAATTTTAAAAATAAGAAGTAATTAGTGTTCAAGACGAATGTACAAATTAAATTATATTATAATTATAATTTTTTTTTTCAACCCGAAGGTTGGTTTACAACTCAAATTCTCCATTCTAACCGATTACTCGCCTGTTCTTTAAGTTCCTTAAAGGTTTTGACTTTTGCATCCCATTTAATTTGTCC